CATAAAAACCCATCACCAGGGCTCTCCTGCAACTACTTACCAGCACTAATATGGAACAGATACAGGATCTTTCTTCTGTGTTTCTATAACCAGTGAATGGCTGGTTACTCACTCTGGAGGAAAACACACTTTGCACATGCTTTAGTGAATATATCATGCTAGCGGGGGTCAAACTGAAGCCTACAACCTAAGAATGATAACAACTTCTGAGCAAAGGTTGAAATGATCTGTTCTCAAGATTCCTCAGTCATTGTCCTTTCAATGCCAACTTTTCACAAATCCAGGGAAACCACAAGACTTCAAAACATTTCAACAGAAGGAGCACACGATGGAGTTTGTGGCCTTGCAAAGGAGAATTGCCATCACAATTGGAAAAATTTGCATTCATAGTACTGTATATATATTGTTGCAAATCTAATTGGCAATGGGTAAGAACAGCTAAAAATAAAACCTAAAAGCCAGCGTTTAAAACGAACAAAAAATTACAAACAGTCCACAGACTGGAACTAATTACAAACTCAAAACATTCATGAGTTGAGTGGAAGATTCCTATTTTCAGCAATACTATCCTAAAAATACATATATTGAAGAGGGAATTAGTCATGTACTAACTGAAGGAAAATGCTGATTTAAGCTGAATAAATATGCACCTTGGTGTTTTTTTCCTCCCCAGTACAGTTTTCATCTTTTATGACAACCAGCTTTTCTGGTTGTTTAGAAAATCTGAAACAGAAAAAAAGAAGGGAAGAGAAGATGATAACTTGGGCTGAAGGAGAAGATTCATCTGTTGGCCACAGAGTCTTACACCAATCAGACCACTGGTCCATAGACCCAACCTCTGGTTCTGCAGCCAGATACCTAAGTCACTGAGCTATCTGGCCATCTCCTTTTAGCGCAGTACTGTCAATTCTGATTCTCAGCTACTCTCTCCCAGTTTCCAAACAGAATCCATTCCAAGCCCTGTCAAGACCCTCCATCCAGTACTAACTAGGCTCCTCTCTCCTCTGCTTCCAGCAGAAGATAAGAGGCAGTTTCTCCCTTATCACTCCAATTTAAATTGCAAAATTTGCAGTTAATTTGCTGAGAATGTTCCAGTAGTGGGGCACTAGTACTGAACGGGCTGTCTAATGTAGCTGAGATGGGGGGGGGGCACTTGGAAGCACAGGCAGGTTAATGTGTGGGATGCTCAGCATCACCGTTTCTCTCCATAAGCATGTACACCTTATCTGATGCTGTAGTATTTGAGATAGGTTTCCACAAACAAGCAAAAGGCACTCTGCTTTAGTCTTTCTCTGGCAAACTGTGACTGTGTTCAAACAGTCTCACATTTCACTCCAAAACACTGAGCATTTAAACACATACCCAACTTACAATCGATAGGCTTTTGTAACCCCTCTTCTTGCTTCCTGGGACCCAATTTATTATGCATGGAAATTGTGACACCGGACCACAGAAAACGCGTGAGAGCAATTTCGTCAGGCAAACACAGGCACATGTACACAGAGAGAATTATACCATGTTGCTCTCTGCTGAGCCAAAGTTGGCAGAAAGAACTTTACAATGCCAGCCTTTGGATAGTGGAAGCCTTGTTTAGAAACCTCTCTTGCTTTTGGGATTAAATGGTTTTAATGATTTTAAAGTGTTTTGTGTGAACCAACACTTCAGTCAGAGCACCTGAATCTAGGCAACCCCCCCCCCCCAAAAAAAGGGCAGGGGGCGGACAGATGAGAGCAAAGTATTTTTCAGTTTTGCATTTACACAATTTCAGCCATCATCCTTTGGACAATTTTGTTCAGTTTGTGAGAGTTTCACATATATCAATGATATTTCAATGAACTGGTGCAACCTCAAAGAGGAGGACAGCATATCGTGAAATAAAACTGGAAGAAATGAGCAAGATACATCAGAACAAACCTCATACATTTTTTTTCAGTGAAATCATGTGATACATGCTGGCTATAGTCATCTGACAAATGCAAAAAATATAATTGCTTGCAACAGTTTAATAGGATTACAAAACTCTCCTTAATATGACTGGAAATAGAAGTTGTCACTGAACACAAATTCTCGTCCTAAAAAATTTGAAAAGCTTTTAATGGAAACAGCTGCTAGCCAAAAACTTATCAGTATGGTTTCTTCTAGAAAATGAACATGAACGGAAAAGAAAAAAATACATTTGCCAACTTTAGTAGATGAATGTGAACAAGCATGCATGAAATTCACTAGCCTTATCAAGTGGCACTATCTTGTTTGTAGGACTGGTCAATTTTACTAGTGAACAGTGTGACAGCAAGAGGAAGCAAGAAACAAGGGTAGAATAACAGTCTGCAAACAGTATAAAGGTGAACTGACAAGGACACATCCAGGAGCAGTCGCCGAGTCTTCCAAATTTACCAAAAGCTTGATTAGTTTGCTTTTAGGCTGGACAGAAAAGCAGTGAACTATAATTATAAACCACCAATAGCTGTGGCTACAATGATCCATCAAGATCTTCCGGATCACTCCAATGTTTCACACAGCCAGAGTTTTCCCAGTTGCTAAACTCTGAAAGCGTCATGTTACTCAAAGACAAAATGAAGACGGTCAATGAAATCATGTTTCCAAGGTGTGAATCTAAAGCTCGACACAATGAGTGTCAGTTTGTTTTTTACATATAGAAACGTTTGTTTTTTTGTGTGTGCATGTGAGTTGTTGTTGTTGTTTTTGCATGGTATGTAACAAGGCCACCCCCATGTCACAAAGCAGAAAGCTTCTGAAATCGTCTCCAGTTTCATGAGAACTTTGCCATGCAGTGCCAAGGGCCAGGGACTCACTTTTCCTTGGGTTTGCGAAGCTAGCAGCACAATGTTGTTGATATAGCCCAGCTATATTCACAGCTGAGATAGACACAAGCCTTCCGAGCTGCTGAACCATTCAAACAAACAGCAGTGAGAATTAAAACTTTATTAGTGTATTCACATATTAGGCAAATGCAACACGCATGAAAGCTTATCTCTTAGGTTCACAAGTTCTACCAATACATTAGACTACTGGTAAAACTACACAAATTGGTAACCGCTGTGCCAATTTTTTTAAATGGCCTGATTCACTCGGTTCCCCACCCCCACCCCAGGCTTTATTTTTGGTATTGCTCCTATGCCCTATTTATTATGGCATAAAAATATCCATCACTATTATCCGTTCAGTCAGCTGATCACAAAGCTTAACACTGGCCACATTTGTTCTGAAAGCTGAAGTTGTCAATAAATGTACTTACAAAGTACAGTTCTAGTGCAACTGAACAATCTGGGGTGAGGGGGGTTGGGGGGGAGAAGGAAAGAAAAGAGACAAAAGGCAACTCTGCTTCTGCCACAACATCAAGAGAATGACAGACAGCTAGACCACAAGATTGTTAGTAAGGTGTATATTTTTCAAGTCAGAAAAACCCTTCTATACAGTTTCCCAACCCTTACAGTTACCCCACCCAGGCTTATCCATAGAATATAATTCAAAATACTTTTTAAAGCAAAGTCCAGATGTAGTGTCCCAGGGTTCACAATAACATGTACTAGAGTCCTTCTCGGGGAGTCTGCAGAAACAACTAATTCTGCAAAGGTTCCTCCCTTCCATAAGGGATTCTCAAGGACTACACCATGTGAAGTGGGTCTGACCAGCCCTGTAAGACTTCAATGAAATGTCAGGTTTTGTAATCAAATATAGCGGAAGTCACATTTTGACTGTGTGTAAGGGTGGTGTACACTTCTAGGGCTGCCAAAGTTTACCTTGTGACGTCTAAATCTCCCCTTTAAAAGCCTACCAGTGAAATGGGAGAGAAAGAGAGCATATCTTCTGACATCCCTGTCCTTCCAAAGTTGCGTCTAGTCCAATTTCATCTACTATGGGGCACACCTGTGGCCCCATTGTACTAGGGCAGTGGGAGATGGAAGAACCTGGGAAGAGAAGCTGGAGCTTGCTTGCCCTCCCACCTCATCAGCCGATCTGAAGGTGAGGCAACCTTCTTTCCAGATTGCCCCCAACCATCTTTAAAAAAAGGCATCTGAGTACAAGGAACTCAAGTTCAGCTTGCAAGATTCCATATATTCATCCCAGTTACATAGATAACTGAAGATTCATCTTGTAAAGGATATCATGACACAAAAGCATCACTGACATCTTATCGCTGCTTCTCAGTTTGAAGAATGCATGAATGTTCTCCTCATTTACCTAAGACAAGGTAGCATGGGATCTGCAACAGATAGGTCCCTCTTTTGGGGGGGGGGGAGTGTCGAAATAAGATTCAGGAGCTACACTTTATTTTCTGATGGATACACACATGCACTGAAGATTCACGATTTTCTGGTGCTCCAGACCATGGGCTGCTGCAAGAAATCAGGGAGATGAGGAAAGGGTGTTTGCTCCTTTCACCTGGGTGAAAAACCCCTCCCAATACATGGTCCGTGGTCTGAGGGTTCACTCCACTATGCTTGGACCACAAACTGGACCCTTCCAATACATGGTCCGTGGTCTGAGGGAAAGGGTTCACTCCAAAATTTAGGGGTAATGTGCCCACTATGCTTGGACCACAAACTGGACCCTAATACTGCTCCTCCTTCCTTGCAAAGCCTCATCAAGGTAGCATTATTAAGCCACGGTAACACTATCCTGTCTTTTTTTGGTGGGGATTTAAAATCCTGTTTAATATTGGCACCCTGTTGGCATAGGCACCACAGTAAAACTTACTGTGCCTATACAATGGTAAAGAGAGATGTGTGTGTCACCAGGAAAGCGGAGAACACCCCCTATTGCTGATCAAGCCTGTTCCTGATCTCTAAACTGTGGCTACAAAACAAGCAATGTTACAGCTGCACAAGCCCATCAGTGCCTCTTTGAGGACTGCCTCCCCTCCCTCACCCCATGTTTTTAAACACAGAGGTACAAAAGGAGCCTTGAAGCAGTAGGGCCACAGCTTCCACTGAAAGTAATAGACAAACCATCCTGGATGGGCAGAGGAGAGAAAAAAACTCTTCTAAGCATGATTTGGCCAAAGGGAAGTGGGAGAGAGAAAAATCAACTCAAATTTACAGTTCACATGTGAGGCCTTTTAAGTATGCTCGACGCCCATGATTTCAAACAATGGAACGCAAAGCACCTTTAAAGGTGGCAGGCACCTCACACACTCGGGGGTTATGTACACACTGGGGCAAGGAGAGTTTGTTTTGGAACAGAAGTCTGTTATCGGGCAGCAAAAGCCTGCATATATATTTATATATAAAAATATAAAAAATATGGAAAAGCAAGAACTTGGGCTTTTACAACATGGCTGCCTAAATCAAAGAGGTCTGCATGTCTACCAATGGAAATTAAAACTTGGGACAGCAGAATGGTGTCATATTGAGGGGGGAGGGAATAATACAATAATCAAACTGTCCATGTTATTGGTAAACCTTTAGGACACTCGATTTATATATACCCAATAAAAACACCATTAAAGTCTTTTTAAATGACCCTCCCTCCTTCAGAAGAAGGTGTTTCTATACACTAACATTTCACCTAGCATCAGAGTATAGGAAACAAAATTCACAAGGTGCTTTAAAATTGACAAGACCCTCAAGTGCTTGCTTTCTCTCTCTCTCTCTCTCTCTCTCTCCCTCTCTATCATATACTCTCTCTCTCTCTCTCTCTCTCTCACTCACACACACACACACACATACACATTATCTCACAGAACTTTTTGGATAGGAAAACAGTTCATGGAGACCACACATGAGCTACTATGACAGACGAGCTGTTAGACTTGAGTCTGTTGCCTGGACTTTGTATCTTAAGCCCACCAGTAATGAGAAGGAGTTTTACGACATGCTGGAGCAGCGGACTGATGGGGAGCCCATTTGAGTCAATACTTTATCCAGCCATTGTAGAGGTCCATTCAGGTGAAGCTCAATCCAACAAGGAGTGCTTGTTACCGTCTGCCGCCTGGAAAAGGGCAAAAGCATAGAAGAAAATGCACAATGAAGCCAGCCTCATAGAAGCCCTGCTCTGCAACCCGTTGCCTTGCAGGACACCCCAAGAAGACCACAAGAAATGGCAATGAGTGAGGGAGCCTAGTTGACTAGTTGCTGGGGAAGGAGTGACTGGGAGGCTGACAGTTGGCCCTGGTGCTGAAAGAACCCAATGTGGTTCAGATGCTGATGAAGGCTCTTCAGATTGCTCTCATCCTGCGTGTCCATGTAAGTACACTGGTAGAACAATCTGCTCCACCAGCATTATATAAGACCTGGCTTGCATAATCTATTTGATTCCTACAATGTGTGAATCTTCCTCCTTTTGGAACACCCAAATGAGAGTGAGTATGCTAACACCATTGTGTAGGGGCACAATTTACTAGTAATGACCAGGAAAGTTGAGACAGAAGCAATTAATCCAAGCTCAGCTACATTTCTTCAACACATTCAGTCTTACTCCCTTTTTAAAAAGTACCAGGAGCTAAATCTACTTGGAAATCTAATGCAAGACACTAAAAGAAAGGCAGAACCCAATGTTCTTACTGCCCGTTCCTGCAATACAAATCCTCCACAATGTAGTCCCATACAGACATTTGACAATCCCCATCCAGAGCACCCACAGGACATAACATGGCTCATCAGTGCTGTTGGGAGACATCAATTTCATCTTTAGTTTTAGAGCAGGCTGAGCGTTAATATATTAATACTGTCTATCTATAAAGGTAAAGGTTCCCCTTGACAATTTTTGTCCAGTCGTGTTCGACTCTAGGGGGCGGTGCTCATCCCCGTTTCCAAGCCATAGAGCCAGCGTTTTGTCCGAAGACAATCTTCCGTGGTCATATGGCCAGTGCGACTTAGACACGGAATGTCGTGACCTTCCCACCTAAGTGGTCCCTATTTATCTACTTGCATTTGCATGCTTTCGAACTGCTAGGTTGGCGGGAGCTGGGAAAAGCGACGGGAGCTCATTCTGTCGCATGGAGTCGATCTTATGACTGCTGGTCTTCTGACCCTGCAGCACAGGCTTCTGCGGTTTAGCCCACAGCGCCACAACGTCCCTACTGTCTATCTGTAGGAACCCATTTTTACATAGACTTGCCTGCAGTGAACCCTTGAGAGTAACAAAATATGCTTTGTTTTAGAACGCAACCCACTGTTCACTCACGCAAAACACTGCTCAAGCCTGAAAGATCTGAATGTTTCCTCTTATCAACTCAGTCCTTCCCTCTCCAATAATACAGCCAGTAGATAGATAAGGTTTATTACCGTCAACAACCAATACCCAGACAGAACTGTCCTCACAGTAGCTGAAAAGCTTCCCTGCCATTGCTAATCACTGAATGTTTGGGTTCCCTAGAGCAGAATATGAAACAACCTACAACTAGCTGGTCTCCTTTTCTTAAAAAAGAAACTAAACACTTGATTATGTTATGCCCATGAGCTCCAGCTTTGACTGCATCCATGTATGAACCTGTGAATGCAGTCCAATCACAGGGTAGGTCTACCAATAAGGGGAGGAAAAAGCCGCTCTGTACCTGTATTCAGCTCCCCATCCTTTGACAAAACTCATTCTTATGGTACACATTCGGGTTAACTGGTACACTGCTTCAAAGCCCTGATTTACAGACTGAGCCAAAAGAGCAGCAAATTCCTGGTTATTAAAGATCTTCAAGTTGCAACCTGTAACAGAAAAATGGTCAAAGACTCCTAGTGATTAAACGGCAAGTGAATCTCTTACCAAGCATGCTAAAAATGATTTAATCCCACCTCCTTTTAATGAAATGTCTCTCAAGATGTTACAACCAAGCAAACACAATTCAACAGACTGAACTCTTCCGTTTGCTTTATGTCTCTTACCTGGTGGGATTTTGCACACAGTTGCAGGATGCCATCCGTATCTTTGATTACAATTGGGGCTCTGAACAAAGATTGCACTATCACTTAGGCACTCAGCAAAAACTTCCCCACCAATATAATACAGACGTACTCCCCTTCCTGCAGGTTGGAGGGAGGGGAGAGAAAACAAATGCAGCTTAAAATTTACACGATCCAACTCACAAGCCAAACTGAAAATGATCTTGTCCATTGCAGGTTACAAGCTATGATGGGGATGTACAATCTCCAGGCTTAAAAGGAAGGTACCTCCAAATGCCAGATGCAGGGGAGGGGGATCAGGAGACAGGTATATAGTTGTCTCGTGTGCTCCCAGAGACATCTGGAGAGGCCACTGTGAGATACAGGAATTAGATGGGCCCTTGGCCTGATCCAAGCAGGGCTCTTCTTATGTTCTTATGTTTGCTAAGGCATGTCTTCATAATTTATTTATTATTTATTTATTTATTGTAACCCACTGCCAGACGGATGATTGTATTCTTCTAGCAAGCACTTTATAGGCCACTGCAAAAAAATTTTGCTGCTTACTAGCTCACTTAACTAGCTCTATGGGCCTGTTTCAGAGCCAAGATTCAAGGTAAAGAAGATCTGAGAAAGAAACAACTGGTCATGTGGTCATACCTATGTGCCGTCTTGTCATTTCCACAGTGGCATTTCTATTCACATTGGAGAGCAACCCTAGGCAGAATCTTTCAGAGTTTGATGGATCCGTAAAGCCATCTACGGTAAGTGAAGGCTGCGATGCATGGAAGGTTTCTCCCACTCTCTGATTCAATTCATAATATGCTATTGAACACCAAAATGCAGGTTCTGAATAGGTAACTGGCTGCAAGTCTGGAGGGGAGAAAGAAGTAATTCTTCTGTTAGTATGTGCCAGACTTCTAAAACTTTTGACAATAAACTGCTATGCATGGCTATAAAGAAGACTATCTTGCCTTCATTTATACTATGCCAAAAGAGTTCTGCCTACACATTATAACTGCTTCAGTTTTCTATTCTCACTTCAAAATGTAGCTGAAGGATGTTTGAATAGATTGTGTTTAATACACTCTCTTCAAAATCTTTATGTTCTATTTCTTCTGATTCATCTCCTCTTATAAAGGTCAACAGGCCAACATCTTGATTTTAAAATGCTCACTGCCACCTCCTGAGCCTTCTAACTTCTCTGCAATTACTTTAGCAGAAAGGAACAGAACTTTTTTTTTTGTCTGGAACATTTGGTTTGTCTGTGCTGTTTGTCCAGCATGGTGCATCTTGTACACCTGACAGACACTTCTGATGATGCTTTCAGGTGCCTCTACATCACATGTCCCATTATCAGCAAATTGATTCCACACTACAGTGTCATAATTTAAACTAAAAACACTATTAAAAAGAGAACCAGGAAGCAGAAGGCATGAACAGAAGATGAAGAGTGAAGCATGTTCAGGCATTTAGCTTTCAGGGAACTCTTTGGACATCTAAGGCTAAGATTAGTATATAGAATGCTGTTAATAAGACAATCAATTTGATTTTATTCTTTGGTCCCATTCACTTAGTCCGAAAACAGGAATCAGGCAGTTTTCTGTAGCTGGGTACCACCTCAAACACACCTATTTCCATTTGATTTTGGAAGCTAAACCCTGCATGGGACAAAACCAGTTAATATCAGAGAAAGAGCTCCAGGTAGCTCCCAGAAAGTATTCTACCTCAAACCCTGGAAAGCTGATGCTAGGTAGAGCTGAAATACTGGGTGAGATGGATCTGCACTCTGACTGAGTATACGACAGCTTCCTAATGTCACTAGTACACAACTCAGCAACTGCTACCACATGACTACATTAACAGAATGACGTCTTTATAGCAACCCACAGATGCAGCACACAGGGCCTGTTAGGAACAGTGATTACAGCAGAGGCATTGTGTGAATGTGCTCTGAACTTGATTCGAGTCTCGCCTCAGTCATAAACCTATAGCACGCAGGTGTCTCTCCATTTCAGCTCTCTTTCTACAATACAAACCTAACTGGGCTGTTCAAAGAATGGCTGCAAATGAATGTAACGCCTTTTCAGAATCCAGAAGGCACTATATAAATGTTACATGTTACCATCATCAATCTCTAAACTTAAGACACAACAGACATGTTTTACAACTGCCTCAACTTTCTGAAACTGAATCCCATCTCTACTTTCTACTGCCCTAACTTTGGGGGCTTTCAGTCTATCACCATCTACATTATCATGTATGTGCAGACAATTAACCCCTCTGTTGTCCTGTTTTAACTCTACAAAACCCACACTACTCACTTTGGGCCGCATCTGTGTGGTATTACTCCAACAACTAATACTCAGACAGTGCTTGAACATAACAGAACCGTCCCTCCGCTCCTTTTTTTTTAAAGAGGCCCAGAGAAATAATGGAACAAACAAGTTGCTCTTCCCGCAGCTTTCCCTACTTCAAAATTCATCCTCTGCTTGGAACTGACACCAGAACGCAGACCCCACATAGTGGAGTGGTAGAAATGAGGCTGTCTGTACAGTGACAATCAAAGAATAAACAGATTATAAAACCATAGCCTCCAATGATGTTGAGTTACTAATCCCACCATCAGGCGCCAATGATCATGCTGACAAGGTGATATGGATAACTGATAGCCCACCAAGTCCTACCCACAGGGCATGGGTAGACTCAAGAAACATGAGGTCTTAGCTGCCTGAAACAAATTTTAATGCTGCCTTTGTTCATCTCTAGCAACAGATGCCTCTTTCTGGATAGAGCCCCCTTATCGTTTCCAGCACAAGAAGCGGAGGGTAAAGTGAGACAAGCTTACCTAGGCTGTGATTGACAGGAGAGAGTGTGCTAGGAGACAATTCTGCTGGAGAACCTGTGGAGTTAATCAAGACTGTTATTTCAAAACACACTCACTTGTGTGATTCAGACAGTGCTGGTGGTCATGTTCTTCCACCTGCTACCATTACACTGCAACACTGTGCAACAGACATTTGGAGATCTCTGGGTCAATTTTTACAAACACAACCATGCGTTAGCCATTGACCCCAAAGATATTCCAAGACAGCTACTATCCAACTACAATCCAACTCTTTGGAAAATAAGCCCATCTTTGCTTTTGAACTGCTTAAGACGTCATTAATTCTATTAACTGGCAGGAGCCAAATGCAGAGGCTAACGTTCTGTACTCTTAACGACTGAGAAAACTCCAGGTTTATACGTTATGGGCAAAAGGAGGGAAGGAGATGCTGAGATGTCATCGCCTGTGGAAAGAGAACCACACTGTTTCCTCTGGTAAATCGATTTGGCTTACAATTTAGACCATCCCAACAGCAAAAGCAAAACAAAAAACAAGTTATGAAATCAGTGCATAGGGTACATGGAAGGCAGCTGAAAAAGCTGATAAACGGACTTTTCTCTATCCTGTCATGTAAGCTTCCCACAAAGAAGAAAAACCAATGTGTTTGTCCTCTGACAAAGCAATGCCCTTTGGTCTGCACACAACACAATCCGTTTGCACCACATTCCAAGGAACTGGACACAGGAATCCTGTTCATGAGCACTCATCAGCACAGTTTTTGTACTACTCACCAATCATAAAACTTCCATTTAACTCTTGGTGCAAAACTCACAGATATCCAAAGATTTAACCCTACTTAAATTGCTGCACTGACTAATATGAATATGCTTCATTGAACTGCTTTTTTCTTCGTTAATTGAGAATCGGGGTCAATACGGTGACCACGGCACAAGTAGTGGTTACTTGTTCAGATTATTACAGGGCTCAAGTGGACCTCTGGCTTTTCTGTTTTATTAGCCAAATAACAATCTGAGCCCCAAATTCCAAGTGTCAGCACAACAGACAAGGCAACCCCTAACATCTACAACAAAAATCCAATTATTGCTTTACTAAAAATGTATTAATTTATTTCCATTTCTATGCCACCTTTCTCCAGTTAAGGAAAACCCAGTTAGCTCAGAGCATGATTCCTGAGAATGCACAGACTACTGTTTGGTTCCTAGTTTAGAATGGACTGCAGTTTGTTGATGGATCCAAAGGTGGCATATGGGACTTGTTTAAACTAGAGTCTCTTAACAACCAAACAGATCAAACCTGGTTCTTAATTACACATTAACTGGGCTTGAGAAGATACCCCCTTCCTGCTGTGAGCACAGAGTTAAGCAGTTCACTCCCCATCCTCAAGTGCGACTGTCTCTAAAGTTGAAAGGGAGACAAAATCTTAGTACTTTTTCTCTTATACAAGACTGCCTTGTGGGAATCCTTTCCTACTTCTGGCCTGTGAATGGACCTGAGAGAGAAGAAAATCCTCTTCTGTTTTCCCCCATTTGAGTAGTTGCTGAGCCAGGTGAGCACTTCCAGACAAACTGCTGGCAATACTAGCTAGTTAACCTTTTTAGATTAAAAAACACTGGCATACTGACTCTTGGTAACTAACTCTTGGTAATTAATGTTTTCAGAGTTGGAGTACTTTTGAACACAACTCCAAAGCTGCAGGTAGAGGCAAATGCTGCTGCTCACCTTCCAGATGACACTGTCAATGGGTGATTTCCAAAGAACTACTCTGGCTATAGGTTTTTATTTTCAGGCTGAACTCCAGAAGTTGTTGTTTACCTTTTGCCAAAAATCCTATTCTTATTTCAGACAATTCCTATCATATTAAAACAGTCCTTTTTCCAAGAACTTAGTAAGATAATTATGAGATTTGTACGGCAAGGTAAAAAACCAAGAATTAAAATTAAGGCAATCCAAGATACTAAACAAAGGGCTGGCTTTGGTCTTCCAGATTGGGTTCTGTATTATAGACCCTGTATTTTAGATTGGATAAAAGAATGGATAACTTTGGAAAATGATAGATTACTTAACTTGGAGGGATACGATTTACAATTAGGCTGGCACACTTATCTATGGTATAAAAAGGATAAAGAGCAAAAGCATTTTAATTTTCATATGATAAGAAGAGCTTTATTGGGAATGTGGAGAAAGATTATACAACAAATTTATCACAAAACACCTGTATGGGTTTCACCTATAGAGACCTTTACACAACCTAATCTCATGACAAAAGCACAACTTTTAAGATACCAAGATTTATTTTAAAAGGATGGTGAACTAAGGTCTAAAGAAGAGCTAGAGACACAGAATATCTATATAGACTGGTGGTCCAGAGTACAGCTGGAATCTACAGTAGATACACAAAAGACAAAATAGAATGTTTCTACTCAGACAATGTTTGGTAAGCTTTTATTAGGTTCAAAAGATAAAATTGTTTAAAAACTGCATAACTATCTGTTAGAAATTAAAATGCAAGATGAAATGGTTAAAGACTGTATGATTAAGTGGGCACAAAACATAGGGCATAATACTGATATTGATCAATGGTTGAAAATATGGCAAAATAATATAAAGCTGACAAGATCGGTTACTTTTAAGGAGAATATATACAAGATGTTTTATAGGGGGCATATGACTCCAGAAAAACTGTCGAAGATGTATACAGATGTATCAAATGTGTGTTGGAAATGTGAAGCACAAGTGGGAAGCTATTATCATGTAGAGTAGCGAAACAGTATTGGAAAAGAGTACATGCTGTGTTGCAACAAATATTGCTTTGTAAGGTGCCATTAACTCCAGAACTGTTTTTATTGAGTATGATACCTGATAATATAGATAAGACAAAGGAATATATAGTCATATACACAGTTACTGCAGCCAGAATTCTCTATGCCAAAAATTGGAAAAGTCCGACGGTACCGAAACAAGATCTTATAAAGATACGGGAAACAGCAGAAATGGACATTTTATCAGAAGTTATGAAGGACTGTCCTTTACAAAAGGCAACAGAAAGATGGAATTTATTCTACAAATGGACTGAATCAACAGGCAGCGTATGAAGAGCATATACTGAAACGAGAACTTAAACCTGGAAGGCAGAAAATAGTAAAAAGAATAATTTGGAATTTTGATATGGCAATAGGTATAGAATGGATGTTAGTATGTTATTGTTTCTCCTCTTCCCTATTAACCTCAATTCCCCTTTTCCTTTTTGTCATCCCCTTGTTAAAAATAAAAATATATTTTTTTTAAAAAAAGTAGTTTTTGTTTACCTTTAAAGCCTGGACACACAGTACTCAAGACTGGCCTCTACAAATAGCTGTGCATTTAGGTAGACAGGCCGATACAAGTGCTTCTGTTAATGTAAGTAATATCCATGGCAGAGACTTTGCTGCCATTCCCCCCAGAATCTGGCACACACTCCCAGAGAAGATCAAGAGCAGATGTTCATAAGGCTCTCAGCGGCCCTCTACTCCAGTTCCTGCTGATGTAGGAAATCTGCTGCTCCCTCTCCTTAAGACGTGATCAGCCAGAATGTGCCTCAAGATCTTTAAATCAGAGTATGGATTAACAGATCTGTCTGTTTCACTTTCTCCCAAATGTGTTTTTTTAATATGAAGTTCTTTTCTCTTGTAACTTTAGAATTTTTTAAAAAGTAACCAAAAGAAATTCTCACCCATCATTAATGAAGAGTCTACTGCTTTCTGAGACAGTCTGTTCCATTGTCACACTCCTTGAACTGTCTGGTGTGTAGTCAAAATTCCTGTCCTTGTAATTTGAACTTATTGGTTTACGTCCTACCCTCTAAAGTAAAAGAATACGGATTTGCTCCACCTACACTGCCAGTCTTCAAATATTTGAAGATCATATCTTAACATTATATCACTTGTTAGCTGTTTCCCCCAGATCAGATATACTCAATTCTCTGTCTGCTCAACAGCTTCAACCTTTCCTTGCTATACCTGGTCTCTTCATCTCCATCCTGAGATGAAATAACAAATACAGTATACTCCTGGCCATTCCAGGAGTCATACTCTAGACCATTTTGCCTTCTGTTTGCCAGGTTGTGGTTTTCTAATGGGAATTGATTTGTAATATGAAATTAGATAAATGTTATGTACTTTTTGGATTTGTTGTGAGGTGCTTTAAAATGTAGAAAGATGGAACAAAGTAAATACAATACATCTGTGACAGTACATAGAGAGACTCACTGAATCACAATCACAGTCACCAAACTCCTGCATTTGAGCATATAGTAAAGATTCAGACTATTCAGCTGCCTAGTGGTCGAAATGACTAGATAGGCGGGGTATAAATACAATCAATCAATCAATCAATCAATCAATCAATCAATCAATCTTACCTGTATCCATACTTTGGTTCAACTGCTGGTCACTTGTTTCTCCATCTTCACTGATATAACCAGGTGGAGGTGTTTCTAGCAAGAATGAAGCATTATCAGTGAGTTATCAAAATGAGGGATCCTCTCAGTTTCATTTGCAATGTAAACATACTACAGGTTTTAACTTTTAGATATGCTTACAGAGGAAAGAGCACTTGTGACTATCTTAATAGATCCAATTCATTTCAGTATGCCACTGTTCTTTTGGAACTTACAAAATGGAAGAAGGAAAATATTAGCTAGCCATCTCAATTTCCTTTCCCCCTCCTTGCCACTCACCTGAGTCTACAGATACATTACAATTCATCCACATGTGGGGTAAGCACCCTCTGGCACTTCATATGTTGGGTCTCAGCACCCATCATCCCCAGGCAACACAGCGAGTGGGAGCTCTAGTTTAACAATGTGTGGAGGAACACAAGGCGTCCATGTCTGTTCTACATTATGAATATATGGATTTACGGCAGACAGCGTATTGTCTGGCTAACAAGGTACCAGACAAATGAAAAACAGACATCAAAAAGCTGCCGTCTACATTGCTGCTTGTACCCCTCTCTAAAAGCAAGCCAAACCACAATCAGTAGGGCCATCTTAGACTAAGGAGCTCATAGTAAAATATTCTGTCAACTCTACATTTAGCTGCATATACAGATAAAAAGCTGTTTTGAAAGACACTAAATGCATTTTAACCTTTAAAAAAACTCTATGAAGGTTTTCTAAAACCTAAATTCCCAACCATATTTAGAGTGTCTGGATTTATCTCCCTACTTTTTTTTTATCTTATCTATCTGAGAAAACATTCTAGATGCCCTGTGTAAAATACAAGCAAACAAGCAACAACTACGAACCATAAAACCAAATATTGTAAAACCAAATCACAGTTCTGAAGGGTACCAGAACTAGCTGCAGTTAAAGAGGACAAGAGATACATATAGGTTAAAAGTCTGGGGGAAAATAAAATACAATTGTCTTTGTTTTATCTGTCTTTTAAGAAAATTGTTGAGATGGGTGACTGTAGGCAGGCAATTCCATCAAGCTGGTGCCACCAGCTAGGTTGCTGAGGATTTAGATTCTCATACCTCCAACCTAAGAAAATCCAAGAAGAGCCTATTTTTCACATATTGGAAGGACAAAAGGCTTCTTGCAAATAACAATGACTCTTCAAGTTATGCTGGACCCTGATTTCACAAAATAAAATCTCTAAGAGTTTAGTACTATTTTGTTGTCTGTCTACTATAGATGACACCCTGCTGTCCCATATTCAAAATATCAAAGAGCATCAAAGAGTAAGAACTGTCTATTTCCAATGTCCCGTTAATTTCAATTGAGCAGACTCAGACATCAATACCAACAAAGATCCTACTGAGAGTTGAACACTCACTTCTTTCACCCAAAAGTGCTTTACAAATAGCCATGGCCTCAGGTGCCATGACTGTTTTGTACTCACATTGTTTTTCTTTGACATCTTATAAACGATGAACCTCAAACCTTCAAAATCCAAAAGCCATTAACAGTATAATTTGCTTTTATATTTAATACCTGGTATGTAATTGCTCTGTGGTTCAATTCCTGCTGGAAAGTTAGTATTTTCGGGAATGGAATGAGTATAGTCATCAAGTGGTGGAAGTTCAGTCAAAATTTCAGTATGCCGCGGCACCAGGACAGGTGGAAGAACTGAGAGGAAAACATCCCAAGATGTTATAGACCCTCTAACATAAATTTAAGAACAACAATGACTCTGTTTTCCAATAGCGACCCTTCTATCTGTAGTATTAAATTCAATCCTGTGTATATCTTCTCAGAATGAAATCCCACTCTGATTAACAGGGCGTATTTCTAGGTAATCATGCAAAGGGATACAGGCTCAATATATGGCAATACTGAGATCCATTAGCTGTAACTGCTGAAAAATGTCCGCTTTGAGAAGATGAATGTGGGAGACAGTCAAAGCCAAAGAATCCAGAATGTGTCTGAAGTAGTCAACAGGCTACCTGAGTGAAATCCTTCTTTAAAATCAAGCAAGACTTATCAAGTGGATAAGGTATCATTCTTGGTCTTAGTGCTCTGGTTTTCATTTTCTTCAGCACTGTCTTAGAGAAGAAGCTTAAAGGCTATTACATTTGCTCTGCACCCCTCTTCCAAATTCAGAGTACTTAACACATACAAACATTCTCCATTAAGGCTCTCTCTCATTTCTTCACAATGGTGCCTTTGAGAGAGGCAGGGCAAAAAGACGCCCTTCTCCTGATGATCTCAAGGCCTCTGCAGGTTCATACTTTAGAATACGGGGAGGTCCTAAACTCCCTTCCAGCTCTGCAGTTCTAAGATTATAGCCTGGTTATGAGTACAGAATGAGGAAGGGGCATGCAAATGACTTTGAGCTATTTGTACCAATGGCAAAACAAAAGTTATTAAAAAATCCATAAAACATTTTGGACATCCACCATGACACCTGGATTTAGGGCACGTACGTTTGTACTCTACACTATAGCATCTGTCCAATCTCTGGAATTCTCTCTCCAGAATCACCAACAAAGGCTGAGCATGTGGGCTAACTTAGGGATAAACCTAAAGGAGAAGAGGAGCTTCAGGTATGCATATCATGTATCAGATTAATTATTTCTTTAATTTACATTAAAATATTACTGTGACTTGTCCCAAGTCTCCACAATGGAGCAAACAACTGACACAGAAACAAACTATGCTGCTTCAGCTGTAAGTAATACTTGCATTTGCAAATGCTGTAATTCAAAATTACACTGAGATGTTCCAAACACATGCGTTCAATAAAACAAACAATACATTTCAACATTTACACACTGTTATTAAAATTAAAATTTGGATTAAATTCCCATTCAAGCTCTTGGGTATCCAAAAGCGTAATATGGACTTCATTTACTTCAACTCTGCACACACTAAGCATTAGTAAAGCGTTTAGTAAAATCATCTTGCATAGACATGCCATTATGCCAACAGCAGCTTGACATCTTTCCTACCTGGAGTCTCCACTCTCTGGTAATGGTACGGATTTACGCATACTTCGTCTTTTTTAAGATTAAATGCATATTCACAGTTTTCAATTGCCTTAAGTTCATGATGACTATGAAGATCAGGCCAGCGCCACAAACGGCAGTAAATAACATGTGGTAATCCTTTACGGTGGGATACTTGCAGGCGGCCATCAAGAGACCTAAGGGAAGGAAAAACAATCCAAAATATTCAGCGATTTAAAAATATCACAGATAAGATGAGTTCATAAGAACCACTGAGTTTACAGTTTTAACCCCACCCCAAATACAAAATGCAGAAACTAAAACAGACATTTGTATTCTTCTCAAATACACTGGGTAGTGCTGAAGTTAAAACATACACTACTGTTACTGACATGTGAATCAATGTGACTTGGTGCGTTAAAAACCACAGAATATTTCATTACATCACACTTAAGCCTGCTCACCATTAATAACTAATACTAGACCAAGACAAATAGTTATTGCTTTAAGTACCTCTGCCATACAAGACTGCACTTAAGTTTACTGCAGTCAAATAACCAAGCAGTTCACATCAGCTAGGAACATGAAGCTTGCATCAGACACATATCGTGCTTGCTTGTTATAGCATTATCAGTTCACACTCTCCCTGCTACCAGTTGAAATGTTTTGCTGGTTTTAAGATAGACTGCCTAGGCCTAAACAAATGCAGATGGATTCATGACTCATGGGATGGGAAAGACAGAGCCTCAGTACACAATGCAAGTAAAGGGTGACATGGGGAAAAAAACACACCAAAAGCCTATATAAGTTGTGTTTCCCCTCCCTAAATATTTGAATGCACATACCTGATCAGCTAATTAAAAACCAGTGTGTAAACTGCTCCAGCCTTGTTAAAGAAACACTAAACCACGTGACTGCACTCCCCTACCCAGACCATTGCCCAGGTTCTCCCCTTTTCAGACAACACTAACACGGAGAGATGGATTTCTCCTTCAAAATCGGAATTTCTTTGGTTAAAACATCAGCTGAAAACACCTCAGGCAAAATCATTTTTAAAATGCTTTGTTACCTAGGAAGCATTTCCACTAGACAGACCCTTGAAAGCCAAACCCTCCCACAAGTTCTCTACAATGAGACACAGGGCAGAATATTCACCTGGTTTGTTCAGAGAAGCTGTATAGGCCTGTTGTATCCCACTGATCTATCGTATTTGGTGTACTCAGTCCCCAAATTTCAGAGCAAGTGCTGTGTATAAATTGAAAAACAAAAACAAAAAAAGTTGATGTGAATATGGAAGCATGGTTATTCAAACTACCATGATGTAAAGACATGGGGAAAATGTACAGAAAACTTCCTTTCACATAGAAGATATTGCTTCTTTAAAAAAACAAAAGTATCAAATGCCATATTTTCTATATGAAGGAGGCTAATAAAATGGAACATATGATTCAAGGTAAAATGATGTTTTCCAAAAGGTGAACACATTTGGTGGATTTAAGCAATCAGTATATTTGTAATATACCTTAAAACAGGCAAAACCTCCTCAAGCTGGCAGAACACAATAGTATCTAGCTTTAAAGCATTCTACGCAAGCATATGGAAAGTCACATATTAAAGCCAAATCAATACATTAGATTTCAACAAGTTGTTAGAACAGCATTCAGTAAGCACCCGAGCAATGCAGGTCTCCCACCCGCTTGTGTATGCAGGCTTTGTTTTCTTTATACGAGTAAGCACCCGAGCAATCTGCATACACAGATTGTGTATGCAGGCTTTGTTTTCTTTATACTAGGAGGTCCCTTTTGTGACTGTGATTATCTTTAGTGCTATATGAGACAAAGAATACATCTCATGCTCGCTGTATACAAATACAGGTGGAAATCCACCTGACATCAAGTAACTCCGTATGTTACAAGAAATGTCATATATTACTTACTTTCCATTAAGCTGCCAACCAAAGATGGTGGTAATTTCACGGGAACCAGCACCCAATGCAATCAATTTAGTACCAGTTTCACAACAAATCTAATTCACACCAATAGCTGAAAATCTGTATTACAACATTCACAGCCGGTATCATCTATCATTTACATCTGTTGCAGCATCTGGCTGCTGAGCTTTGACTTTTCAGAGTCACATTGCCGTTATCAGGAAAAGTCACGTTTGGACAACTCAACAACAGTTGGATCTGTAGAACATCCTGAGATCAACAGGCATTTGCAATTTCTTCCTAAATCATTCTTTGAGAACGCAAGCCCACCAATACTTACCAATACTTTATCTGATGAAAACCATATTTGCATCAACCTTTTTTTTGCCTCATCTAGTAATAACACCCTTTTCCCACATTTCTGGATTAATATTATCGGCATGTTAGAAACATTAGGCCAGTACAGCCAGTTATCTTACATAAAGTAAAGGCTGTTCATCCCAGTGCAGCAGTTGTCAGTCAGTAACAGGGCAACAGATTCTTTTGCCAAGATCTCTCAAAGCAATTCTGCAAATACAGCTGGGGGAGCTACTACACCAAATGCATGTGTTTATATAACATAATGTAATATGATCTGTGCTAGTCTTCAAGAAGATACTGCTTTGGCTCCAAGGACTACCACCATGGCTGCTTCAGGGCCTTCCCCATTCTCCTCTACCACTCACCCCACAGTCGTATTACAAATACTGTAACAGGAAATATGTCTCCTTACCCCTAAGGCCATCTCCAATAGCCTAAATCAGTGATTCTCAACTGGTTCGTACATTACTTCCCATCAGTTAGTCTGTCAAGGAACTTAAGGCCCAAACTTAAGCCCTGTGACCAAACCAATAACCAATTACCACTGTGGAAACTTACACATTTAAAGGCACATTTGGTAATTATTTTTATAATTTAAGTTGGTGGTCAAGGGAATCAGGAGGCAAGAGAAACAATAGCTCCTAGTATTTATTTAAGAGGCAAGAAAAAAGGTCAAAGACAATCTGTAGCAGGCAGGACTTGGGGATTGAGACTAAATTCTTAATGGCTCACATAAACACACCTTGTGCCCCTATCCAATCACAGCACCACTAAAGCAAACAGCAAGGCAGAGGTCTGAGACCCCCTTGAGAGTGATCGGCAGCTGCACATAAAGAGATAAAAAGAGTTATCATTACGAATGTTATTCATTGATAACATTCTACTAGCCCATCAGCTTATACCTGTTCTTTTGAGCAGCCCATAACAAAATAAAATAAGGACCACTCAACAGCCCAGGATGAAAAATTATGATGTGCACTCTGTTAATGAAATCACTTGGATCCCTTCTGATTCGGCTTTTGTATTACATACAGGTCCTGAAGGCATAACTTCAGTTGTTCTATGTTAATTCATTTCAGTTGCTGCAGCCTGAGGATGTAGGATCTGTGGAGGGATTAGTGCAACCACATCTAAAAAGGATCTCTTTTTTGGCTCATAACAACAGAGTTTCTGAATGAAGTTGATTATCTAGATCCATTGCAGTCTGGCTTCAGACAGACTCAGAAGGTAGTGTTGGAGGGCTCCTGTTCAACTACTTTGTCACTGACTGGGGAAGACAGTTTAGAGTTTGGGATTCGGTACCATCTATTTCTTCTTTCCCTGAATCTAAGGAAGCTGTTTTGATCCTAAGCAAGTATCTAGCATCAATAATGGGCTAGTTGAGTATGTTTGCACAGTTAAAGCTTGTGTGCCAGTCACACCCACTCCTGATGATGCAAGAACACAATCCTTAGTTATGTATTACTGTAACAAACTCTATATGGGGCTACATTTGATGATGGTTCCAAAATATTAACCACGATTATTACAACTGAATTGATTTCCAAGTCATACCCAGACCCAATTCAAAGTGCGGGTTCTGACATTTGAAAGCCTGATGCAGCTTTGATCCAGGCTCATCAGAAAGACTACACGCTTCCCCATGAGTGTCAGGATTATCAGCAAAGGCCTGTCTTCAAATGTTCATCTGGTAAGGATGTGAAAAGAGGCTTTTCTCAGTGTTTGCTGCCAGATTATGGAATGTCCTTCTTCAGGAGGCTCCTTGCTATCCTTTCACCAGAAGTATTTCTGAACCAAGTATTTGATATCTCAACTAGGATATTTTATGGAACAGCAGGTAGTAGATATAGTATTTTAACATGTATGCATGTTATAATGCTTTAATTCCTAGTTTGTTTAATTGTTTTTATTCATTTATTATGTTACTGTATATACACCTGTTTGAAATGCTGTAAACAATCTCAAGTTCCTTATGCAAGGAGAAAACTGGTAAGTAAATAAATGAATGAATACTTCAGCATGTCCATCTTCTGTAGTCTAAACAACAGAAAAAGAGAACTTCCATGAAGCTACCCTCCTTTTTCACCACCGAGATAAGTTTCTTACCCTCTTTGAATGGTCAAGAAACGGCTGTTTTCCTCAAAATAAGAAATGTAGCACATTCTGAAAACACTGACTGCTTTTGAATTTGTATCACAGTACAGTATGTCAGAATGTTGGACATTGGGTACATTGTTTTAAAAATTCTTCCACTGGCTGCACATTTTTCTTCTGGTGACCCTCACATGCCATACAATGCAAAATTCAAGGACCTGAAGGAAAGATCTGTCAACAGGAAACCACCATCTCACCAACTCCTATTCACGCCTTTTTGTGAGGATGATTATACTTCATGCTGTTATGTGCCCTCAAGTTGCCTCTGACTTATAACAATCCTATGAATGAGCAATCTCCACAACGTCCCGTCCTCAACAGCCCTACTCAGCTCTTGTAATTCAAGCTTGTGCCTTCCTTTAGGGAGTCAGTCCATCTCATACTTCCTCTTTTCTTCCTGCCTTCCCCCTCCCCCAGCATTACTGTCATTTCCAAAGAATCCTGCTTCCTCATCATGTAACCCAAAGTAGGACCTGCCTCAGTTTCAACATTTTTGCCTCCAGAGATAGTTCAGGCTTGATTCGAGCACAGTTTATATTCAAGTGTGTGTTCTACAAATATACCCTAACATTCTATAGAGCAGTGGTCCTCAACGTTGGGCCTCCAAATGTTCTTGGACTTCAACTCCCAGAAATCTTGGCCAGCAGAGGTGGTGGTGAAGGCTTCTGGGATTTATAGTCCAAGAACATTTGGAGGTCCAAGGTTGGGGACCACTGCTATAGAGAACAGTTAAGCCAGGCTGGTACTTTTGATAAACTAACTGCTCAATTACTTCTTTGTTTCTGACCCTTCTAGGTGAAAACTTTTCAGAAACTGAAAATGCACTAGATTCTAAAAGACCCTGCAAAACAGCACCTTTGAGAATGACAAATCATAGCTCATTGCTTACACTCTGATATTAAACTCTTACAGCATCATGGCCACCAAGATCGTACTTCAACAAAGCTCCTCCATTTCATTTCTGCATTACATTAATATCCTGCATTTCATTATGTTTACTTTCTGGGAAATCTCATGTACTCAGACCACAAGGACACTTTTGAAAACAGTCTCTTGAGTAGCTCAAGCCTGAAAAACCATTTCCCCTCTTTTGGAAGAAGCTTGCATACTTAAAGCATTGCTTTGTGTTTGGCAGCCACTTCAGGCTCCAGAGAGGAAAAGGTTTGAAAATTAGTACCTGTTAAGGTTGACCAACAGTTCCTATTAAGCCAGTAAACAACTTGCAGAAAGGCCATCCATTTCCCCAAGCACACTGAAAAGAATAGTCAGAGGTGCCAAACGCCAGAATTCTCCACTTGTTTTTGCTAGTCTGATGAGAAACTATTAATTGTAAAATTTAAAATTCAAGTAATACAAGTTCACTGCCAAAACCACAATTTTGCCCAAATGTTCCTGGTTTTCAAATATTCACCAAGAGTCTCTCGTAAAGCTATTTATGCCATCACTCTGAGTCAGACATAATGATTCACTAAAGTAAAGAGATCTTCTGCAACAGGACACTGAATTTTGAGAAGCTTGTCTGTTTGTACATTCTGTGAAGGCAGACCCAAATATGTAATGTGAGCTGTCAATAGGTGTGTGTATTCTTGCGAGGAAGCCTTTGACAGAACAAAGTTGTCTTCAGCTCTTCTCTGCTTCAAACGTTTTCCAGAACATTCAGTTTAATGTTTAAAGATCTAAGCAGGGTGGATTTGATTTAAACCAAATTTATTTATGCTCATAAATCAACAGATGCAAACTCTATTGAGTGGAGAGAATGGCAGTACATTCCATGGTACCCAAAGGGGCCAAACTAGAACAC